ATCTGCAGTCTTCCCCATGATTGTGTAGCCTAGTGAACCAAACTGAGAGACCATTTTGAAGGCTCAGGAAACCTTTGCAGGTGTTTTGAGTTGATTAGCTCAGCTCAATCATCACAATTAAAAGAACCAAAGACTTAATCTACTTCAGTCTGTGTGCATTGAATTTATTTAATACACGAGTTTCACAATTTGAGTTGAATTACTGAAACAAATTAACTTTTCCATGACATTCTAATTTATTGAGATGCACCTGCATATATACACACACACACACACACACATACAGGTGCATCTCACTAAATTAGAATGTCATGGAAAAGTTTAACTCAAATTGTGAAACTTGTGTATTAAATAAATTCAATGCACACAGACTGAAGTAGTTTAAGTTTTTGGTTCTTTTAATTGTGATGATTTTGGCTCACATTTCACAAAAACCCACCATTTCACTATCTCAATAAATTAGAATACTTCATAAGACCAATAAAAAAACATTTTTAGTGAATTGTTGGCCTTCTGGAAAGTATGTTCATTTACTGTACATGTACTCAATACTTGGTAGGGGCTCCTTTTGCTTTAATTACTGCCTCAATTCGGCGTGGCATGGAGGTGATCAGTTTGTGGCACTGCTGAGGTGGTATGGAAGCCCAGGTTTCTTTGACAGTGGCCTTCAGCTCATCTGCATTTTTTGGTCTCTTGTTTCTCATTTTCCTCTTGACAATACCCCATAGATTCTCTATGGGGTTCAGGTCTGGTGAGTTTGCTGGCCAGTCAAGCACACCAACACCATGGTCATTTAACCAACTTTTGGTGCTTTTGGCAGTGTGGGCAGGTGCCAAATCCTGCTGGAAAATTAAATCAGCATCTTCAAAAAGCTGGTCAGCAGAAGGAAGCATGAAGTGCTCCAAAATTTCTTGGTAAACGGGTGCAGTGACGTTGGTTTTCAAAAAACACAATGGACCAACACCAGCAGATGACATTGCACCCCAAATCATCACAGACTGTGGAAACTTAACACTGGACTTCAAGCAACTTGGGCTATGAGCTTCTCCACCCTTCCTCCAGACTCTAGGACCTTGGTTTCCAAATGAAATACAAAACTTGCTCTCATCTGAAAAGAGGACTTTGGACCACTGGGCAACAGTCCAGTTCTTCTTCTCCTTAGCCCAGGTAAGACGCCTCTGACGTTGTCTGTGGTTCAGGAGTGGCTTAACAAGAGGAATATGACAACTGTAGTCAAATTCCTTGACACGTCTGTGTGTGGTGGCTCTTGATGCCTTGACCCCAGCCTCAGTCCATTCCTTGTGAAGTTCACTCAAATTCTTGAATCGATTTTGCTTGACAATCCTCATAAGGCTGTGGTTCTCTCGGTTGGTTGTGCATCTTTTTTCTTTCCACTCAACTTTCTGTTAACATGCTTGTATACAGCACTCTGTGAACAGCCAGCTTCTTTGGCAATTAATGTTTGTGGCTTACTCTCCTTGTGAAGGGTGTCAATGATTGTCTTCTGGACAACTGTCAGATCAGCAGTCTTCCCCATGATTGTGTAGCCTAGTGAATCAAACTGAGAGACCATTTTGAAGGCTCAGGAAACCTTTGCAGGTGTTTTGAGTTGATTAGCTGATTGGCATGTCACCATATTCTAATTTGTTGAGATAGGGAATCAGTGGGTTTTTGTTAAATGTGAGCCAAAATCATCACAATTAAAAGAACCAAAGACTTAAACTACTTCAGTATGTGTGCATTGAATTTATTTAATACACGAGTTTCACAATTTGAGTTGAATTACTGAAATAAATGAACTTTTCCACGACATTCTAATTTATTGAGATGCACCTGTATTTAGTGTGTATTGGCATTACCTGTAGTCTACTGGTGACTAACTCCAGTTGTTACTGACGACTGTCGTAACGACCTTTCTAGATTACAATCCGCCATCAAAATGATATGTTTTTAAAGGCTATAAAGGCTATAAATGATCTGCCACCTACAGCATCCTCACATGTGATATAGCTGGGACTCTTTTTTTTATGTTTACAGATGTGACATAATAACGCGAAGATAAACGGCAGCATGATTGTATTTCCCGCAAAAACCTACCCAACACTCAAATTAGAAACCATTATTACAAGCTTGCCGTTGAGAATCAGGCTAAGGTAAGGAGTTCATTTTGAACACTGGCCGGTTATGTACTTGCCCAGAAATAGATTTTGGATCATTTTTAAGCAAAATAAAATGGAAGTTGTGGACTGCAGCTTTAACTAACTAGTATAACTAGTTATTTATTTATTTCAAATTTTACTCAAGCATTATTAAATTCATATTTCTATATTGCAGGAAGCTAGGCTATCTACAATACTGAACAAATCAGTATTGTAGAAATTTCAATTCAGAAAATTTTTTCTATGTATTTTCTATGTATGTACACAACTGCAAACATATTGTGGTGATTCAGGCAGCTGGTCTTAGCCTGCGGGTAATTGGCAAATCACCCTGCGGCTGATGGAACATGACTTTCTCACAACTGATTGTTTTACAGTCTACAAAAATTCATCCATATTCATGACTTCTTGTAGTGACTCAGGGGAGACCCAGCATAATGGAAATATTTTCTGTGTGCACTTCTGTCAGCTTAATGGAATATCCAAAATCTAGTGTACAATAGCAGCGATCAAGTCTGCGCTCTTCACTTTGATGCCCTTGTGACGTTTAACGGAATCTCTGGCACATATTCAGCTCTTACTATTTTGTTTTTGCTGTCAGAAGTACAAGATAGTTATGTTGAAAGGACAGTACAAGCTGTTTCACTCTGTCTAGGCTAACCGGAAGGCTAATTCACAATGTGTTCTATCAGGATTTTTCTATGGGGTTGTAGAATAGCATTTTTTGTTTTTTTCAAGTCATGTTTATCTACTATGGTTTTAAGGATTATATACTGAACAGCTCCCATTTTTCTCTGAATTTTTTTTGCCACATTCATTTAAAATGTGCAGCTTCTACATTATTTTATTGAGTTCTGCATGTGCAGTGTGGCTTAATGTAACTTCATGCTCTTACTGTCATGGCCAGCCATAACAGAGCCAAATTATGACCATTCAGGTCAAGCGGTGGACTTGATAAATACAGAGGCTGGCAGAAAACCCTAGAAAAACAATGTTCTCTCTGGAACATTGAGTTACAAATGTTTATCTACAGCTATGGCTGTCAGGCTGCTTAATATATCTTTGATATACTGGAATGAGGGCAGCTAAATAGCCTTCTGCACTAATACACATATACACCTGGCATAATTATCCATAACAGAGATGACTCATTCAATGTCTCCAAACAAGTTTATGACCATCACCATAACAACAACAACAACGACAACAATCAGAAAACAGATCAGAGGTTTTCACAAGGTGCTGAGATCTGAACCCCTCGTGTTGCCATAGAACCCTGAATCCAGAGGTACATTTTCAAAACCAACAACTTACAGGTGTTCTTAAAACCATGTTTTCAAAGAACTTCAAATCTGACATACGTAAGTGTTGGGTTTGAATACTGCCACTATCTGAACAATATGTGCAACTCCAAAAGGTCTCATAAATAGTTTTTGACAGGTTCAAATGACAAGGTGAAAAGCAGACACTTAGTTCCGTTTTAAATTGAAAGGTTTAGACTTTTCATGCTGCGCCAGGCTGGTTTATGCTGGTTTCCTCTAGTTTGGGGTTGGTCCTGCTGGTAGACCAAAATAGCTGATGTTTACCACCAGAAAAATACTGGTCAAACAACATGGTTTCTAATCTGGATTGTAGTCTTTTCAAAAGATTTATTTGAGAAGGTTTCTATGGAAGCCCATTTCCACCTCAGAGTAAAAATAAGTAATTGTGACTTCATTTCTCACAATGTAATTTTGTAACAACTGTGGATTTATACACTACAATACATACTTTATGGAATACACATTTTTAAAAAAGAAATCAATACTTTTATTCAACAAGGATGCATTAAATAGACCAAAAGCTACATTTAGCATGTTACCAAATATTTCTATTTCATATGCTGTTCTTTTGAACTTTCTATTCATCAAAGAACACTGAAAAAATTAACGGTTTCCACAACATTATTACGCAGCAACTGTTTCAACATTGATAATAAAAATAGTTATTTCTTGATCACCAAATCAGCATATTAGAACAGTTTCTAAAGGATTGTGTGACACTGAAGGCTACAGTAATGGATACTGAAAGTTGAGCTGTGCCACCACAGGAATAAATTACATTTTAAAATACATTACAATAGAAAACAGTTATTTTAAGCTATAACAATATTTCACAATATTACTATTTTTACTGTATTTTTTTTATCAAAGAAAATTAGTTTTTTTCAAAAACAAATAGTTACCCAACGGTAGTGTATCTCATTTTATAGCTTTATATTTCACAATGTGACTTTATTTCTTATTTAAACTTAATCTCACAATTACCTCTTTTGTTTTTACTCTGAAGTGGAAACAGGCTTCTATAGGGTTTTGTTTTAGTTCTTATTCTATAATAGGAATAATTTAAAAAGCCACTTCTAATAATTGAATAAAAGTGGTACTTATTCGTTGCCCACAGACATGGTTTGTTTCATACTTTTAAAGGTAAGGTCCAAAAACCAGTATCTTGTCCTTCAAGAGAGCTTCTGTGTCTGGATTCATTGAATACAAATGTCTGCTAAAATGATAAACCAGCAGCACACAAGTCAGCTTATACGAATGAGGCTACAGCATCTCAATCGTTTGACGCAGTACAAAAACTCTAGTCACATCACAACTTTTATCCACACTTGTTTTCAAAAACCAGACGCTGTAAACAAAACACTGCTGAGCTCCCATGAATTTAGACTTCACTCTCTGCATATAAAGTGCTATGTAAAAAACCTACAAGTCTTGACATCAAACTGAAATTTTGACTTAACACTTATATACAATTTTTATAACCAGAGAAGTTTTATCCCATTGATTCAACTGACATTTATGGTCAGGAAAGATCCCGATCAGACGAAGGTATTTTGATGTATCAGTACCCTGTGATAAAGTCATGGATAGTGAAGTCGTTCGTTCATAGTCATTTGGGCTTTGAATACTAATACTTTAGACCAATCAGAGCTGATTTCTGTAGAGGTTAGTCAGAGAGAATGCCAAACATGAAACCCAGAAGAAAATCCAGGATTACGGCTGGCATTTTGTGAGTTCACAAGCAGCTGACACTCTCATTTTTGCTGCTTTTGGACAGATGTTTTTTATTGGGAAGGGGCAGAGAGAAATCCCCATTGCCTATTGATCCAGTGAGCGGCAGGTGTGTGGACTGATAGACCAGTGGTGGAATGGTGTTGACCAGAATTAGTTGTAGCGGTTTCTTCTCCTCATGAAACTGGCATCGGATGTATCTAGCGAAGGCTGAGCGGTAAGTCTTGTTGAAGAGCGTGTAAACCAGCGGGTTAACGGCGGAGGAAAGGTAACCGACCCACACAAACACATTCAACAGTCCGTTCATTATGTCGGCGTCACACGTCGCTGGCTCGCAAACCACCGCTAAAACATTAGTGATGAAAAATGGACACCACATGACCACGAACAAGAAGAAAACCACGCCCAGAACTTTGGAGGCTTTTTGTTCGTTGCTGATGGACTGCACCGTATGGCGTCCGAAAGGTGGCGTCACAACCCCCGACTCTGCCCCCGCCTCACGGCTCAACGAGCGTCGCAAGAACAGTTTATTCTCAGAGGGCGAGAATGAGGGTCCGGGGAGGAAGTTGAGAGTGAATCCTGCACTCCATTTGGGCCTGGGCACCAGTTGGTCAAGGCAGAGAGTGGCCTCACTCTGCAGAGCGCTGATAGTCAGGAAGTAGGTCACCACCATAATGGTCAATGGCACAAAGAAGGCCACAAAGGACCCAATCAACACGAAAGAGTTGTCAGTCAATAGGCAGCTGCCATCCTTGAAAACTTTGGTGTGATCGCGCAGACCCAGCACTGGGATTGGCATGGAGATGCCTGCAGAAAGACGGGGGGAAGAAAGTGCATTTGTAGTTTAGTTTAGTCGGCAGAAATTGTGACATTTTGACAAAAACAAGGTGGCAAAGAAACCCAACAGAGGAGAAATGATGACAGTTGCTTATTTCACACAAAAGCAGCAAAGTTGTGTGACCTGCAGTTTGTTCTATATGTGTCCTTTTCGCATGCAGTCCATTTGCACAAGCAGACAAATGAATAATAGTTCATATAGTGCTATAAATAATACAACTTTAATAGATAACACGTTAACATGCAGTTCTTTATTCTTTTTAATGGTGTTAATACACCATAAAAAAAGTTAGAAAATCTGACATAACTTCCATTGTTAATTTTTTTTATCACTAAATGAGGTAAAGGAATACCCTCTTAATTGAGAATTTATGTTCACAATCAAAATAAGGTTCACAGTGATTAATAATAATAATAAACCAATATTAAAATTGATTAACAACCCTAATAAATAAAGTTTTTAACAACATATGGTAATAAAGAGCATGGGTTTATAATTTTGTTATATATAATATTGCTTTCATAGATAATGTCACGAATCCAGTCCATGAGGGGGTTCCATGATGGACCCTGTTCCTCTGGACGATGTGTCTGGCATTGGCTGTGCATCTATGGATACCTGCAGGCCTTGGATGACTATGATAAGAACTGTAGAGTGTAAAAAAACGCTGTCGCTGAGTGTCAAAATCTGAGAGGAAGATGAGGAGATTAAAAATATATATCAATAAGGTTTCTGTTTCAAAACTGAGTTTAAAGTGGGGTTACTTTATCTTAGTCACTATCAGCCTCTTCTGGCATCATATTTCTTATCCAGGAGATGAGAGTAAACAGAGTTGAAAGTTAGAAAAGCAGCATTATAATAGAAGTTGTGATGGTGCTTTGCTCAGATCCACTGACAGCTCTCACGCTCCAAGGGTTGCATCTTCACAATGGATTTATTCACAATCATCTCAGTTATAGATGTTATGTGCTGACTGACTTAAGGCAAGACACCAGAGGTAAACTGGGTACAAATTTTGACTAACAGATGTCACCATAATTCTCAGTCGATTAATTACAATTGTTTTGCATTACAAGTTGTCTGAAATATCATTTTTTTAGATGTAGACAAAACATAATCTTATTAAATATGCACTAATTGGCATATATTTTCAAGGTTCAGAATACTTGTTTCATTTTGTTGACATATTAGAGTTTAAGTGTAAACAGCATTTGCTGGTTAGGTATGTTTTAAAGCATGGCTGCTGGTTTGAGCTGGTTTGAACTGGTTCTTAGCTGGTTATGTGCTGGTCCTAAGCAACTAGCTCCTGCTCAGGACAAGCTTAGGACTAGCACATGACCAGCTTAAACCAGCTCATGACCAGCAGCCATGCTTCAACACATACCTACCAGCATATGCTGGATTTTTCAACAGGGTTTACAGAAGGGATCTTTTAAAATCAAGAAATACTGCCAGAAGAAAAAGCATGTTTTAAGAATAACCAATATAAATGAGGTGAATTATATATGAACAAACTCCTCTGGAAAAACCTTCAGAATATAGATAGGAATTGAACTGCAAAGTTTGCTATAAGTGCCTCTGAAGTTGACATTTCTGGCCCAGTGCATGAGAAAAAAAACCGGAAATGTAACGAAATGTAAAAAATATGTAATGTAATTTAAATCTAAAGACAAATAGATAAAGTGTAATAAAAACAAACACTTGTATTTTAATGTGTATTTTGGCTGCTTTTGTTCCATTTTTTATTTTTATTTTTTAAAGAAGACGTATTATGGAATAACAGCCTAAAATCTCACTATTGACCAGTGCTTGAAAAAAGCAATGGTTTTGTCTGAAGTGTCTTGCCTTAAAGCAGACTGAGAGCCGTTTAGCATTAAGAGGAAGGGGGATATAGCTGATCTGTTTTGTTTGCATTACAAATACTTGGATGGATGGATAAATGGATTCTTTAATGCAGGAAAAAGAACACATATCAAATGTTCCACTACAAAAACTAGCTAATTCTGCATGTTTATGCTATCTCAGTGCTAAGCAGCTTCTCAACTGATTATTAGAAAACCACTTTTTAGTCTTAACAACCAGACTAGATGTTTTTTGAAAAGCATCTGACTCATGCTCAAATAGCCCTAATCTCCGAAATGTTAGTAGATCTACTTTGATCCCCAAATGACACATAGTTACCATCTGAAAGTCTTCTTCACTTTAAAGCAGCACTAGCTCTCAGCTCTTTGACCACTCTGAAGCTCACAGAGGCTTGAGACTGGAGTACTGGGATCCAAAAGTGTACCGCTACAGTTTAACCACTTTATTAGTGCAGATATTTTAGTTCTATATCGGTCTCTATCGACTTTAGTTATACAGTATTGCCTTTGTATTATAAATGTGTTTCATTAGACTGTTTTGTCTTTCTTTTTGCACTACTGTGATGTAAATGGCATTGTGGCATTCACTTTATTAAATTTTCTGCTCATAATATCCTTTTCTGTCTTTCCTGCATGCAGCTGGAACTACAGGGTTGGTCTGAGGTCATTTTGAAGAATATCAGTGATATTTTAATGCAGAGCTTAAGCATTTCTTCAACTTTGGCAGAGGTTGATTTTTATTAAAACTAATAGATTTTTTCCTTTGTTTATATAAAGGTCACACTAAAAAAAAATTTCCCCATGCTTTCATTATTTTTTCAATAGTAAAGTCTCTTAATAAATAAATATCTAAATTTTTAAACAAATTATTCTATACATTTTATCACAGTTTTGTGTACTTGTTTACCAAGGCAACATTAAATGTGACATGATATGAAGAAAACAAGAAAAATAAAGGTAAATATCACTTTTGAACAATATTTTTATTGAGAGCAAGCTTGAAAAGTGTAACAAAAAAAGTTATTTGTGTGTATTTTATGATCCGCGAAATGAAATTAGTCTTAGTAAGATGGAGCCATTTTATTTCACAAATGTTTAAAATGTAATTTCTACCAGAGTATGCTATTAAGCACAACACATGATTTGAGATGTGGTGGAAATAACTGCTGGAAATATTCATGACTTCAGCATTCAATGACCCAGACCTGTAAAATTCATAAATGTTTAGCTTTCCATTATGCAATTTTTTCCCCCTCTTCTCAATTATTTCTTCCTTGTGGTGCTCCATTGACATAATCAGCAGGATACTGATGAAGCTGCACTCACTACTGCAGGTTTCATTGTTGCCTCTCAGCTGCAATCTATATAACTGAATATTGCTGCAATTTTACTTCTCATTTACAGATACCCAAATCTCTCCCCTACTCATGTATTCAATTGCCTTTCCTCTGGTGAATGACAAAAGGCATGGAGGTTTATTAGCCACTGATTTCTCTAGTCCCAAAAGCAATTCAGGTTCAAGTACACATAAAACGCTTAAAGACCCTCTTTGGAACGCGCTTCGTTTTAGCAGCGGCTCTAAACAGCCAAGGTCATCTCAAGCCAATAAGGAACATTTTGTAGGATTTTCTAAAAGCAGAGTCAGCGATTGATACTGTCTAATTAGATCAGAGTCATGACATTCTGTTCACAACAGTTTAATAATAATGGCTTCACGTCACACTACAGCACAGTGTCGTGGCTGCATGTCGATGGCATCAGGTGTACCTGCTGAGATGGTCCAGACGGCCGTGATCTTGGCCCGGGCACGGGAGCGCGAGTTTGACCGATTGTGTCGGATGGGGTTACGGATGGCCACATAACGGTCCAGCGAGATAGCGCACAGGTGCATGATGGAGGCGGTGGAAAAGAGAACATCCAAGTAGATCCACATGGGACACAGTGATGCAGGGAGGGGCCAGGAGTAACCTGAAGAAGAGACAGACATTCAGAGGATCAGGCCCAAGGAATAAAACTGACAACAAAAGCCTTAAAAGTATTGACTTTCCTCCGTTACATGCTAATGGACCCTGTGAGATAATTGAATGGGCTTATTCCACTAAGCTCAACTGAGTGATTTCACTGGAAGGCATGAGTGTGATGAGCTCTTGAGAACAGCACAAGAGCTTAACGATCACTGACAGTGTTTTCAGTTGACACGCTGATTAAAAACAGTTCAATTTCTACAACACTACATCCATCCATCAGTGAGTACAAAAATGGTTCTTGTATGGCATTGTTGTGAAAACCCCTTTTATTTTAAGAGTGTAGTACTCCATCCATCCATCCATTAGGGCTGGGCGATAAACAATATCCCATCGCGATTGCAATAAAATTTATGTTGATAACGATGATAAGCTCTGGACATTTTTACTCAATATGGATTAATCTGACAGGCTGTCACACAGCAGATATAAAGGCAACAGAAGCCAGTCAGTGCATGTTGAAACGAAATGAAACCTGCTGTAAGGGAAACAGGTCAATTTAGCTCTAAGGGAATCATTTAAGATTTTAAAGGGAATTTGGACCGAATCACTGTTTTAAGGCTGATCACGGAGACGGCCAGCGATTCATTGAACATATGATAACATCAATATGTATAACATCCATTCTGCAATGGATATTAATATCCAAAGTATAGTGAAAACACAATTTATTAGCACAGTAACAAGATCGGCAGTTTAAGACATTAACACAAAACACAATATACTTCTCTTTTCAATATAAATAAGGCTTTAATGGATAAATCTAAGACATATAAACTAATCTAACACATAAACACACGCATTCACACAAGTTGCAGAAAGAGGGAAAGTGAGGAAATAATTCGTTTAAGAGAATGAAAATGTGAAATCCCAAGTTTACAGCAATATGTGCAATTGCATAGATCTGAACAACCATCAATCACTTAATTAACCCTCGCATTGAGTTCCTCAATGAGGTTAAAATTTATGTTAAATGCACCAGTTCAGCTAGAATCTGGAGGTACTTGTGTTGCGTTGCCTGTACGGGGGTTCTCTTTGTTGTGGTCCTTGCAGAACAGGGGGTTTCCCGCGGTCGCTGATTGGCTGGAAGTTCAATAAGGAATTTCAGTCTGTTCTCTGTCGTCGAGGTGGGGGAAGTCAATCCAAAGAGCTTGTGATTGCTATCACTGGTTTCCATGTGATGGTCACGCTGTGCATCTCTTTTGACCATTAATCTTGATTACTTGCCCCCAAAATTGACAATCTCCTTGGAATTGTCAATAAGTGTTCTTTTGTTTAAATGCTGTGAGCTACTCAAAGCTGCTAGTTGGTTCAGGCTTGTGGCGCCAGGATCTGATTTACGAACATCCTGTGTCTTGGGCCTCTGTGGAATTCGGGTCCTCGTGTCGGGTCCTCGTGTTCTTTATCAAATCTTAAATTGTCTGATTCGGTCTGATACCCTACACTGCTCAAAAAGAGGAAGCAATCTCATGAAAGAGAAACTGATCTTACTCCAAAAACACCCATTAACCTGGGAACTGCAAACAGTTACATTAATTTATATGTATATTAAATACCGGTAAATAAAAGGAAACCTTTACAAAAATAAACATGATTTAGCCTATTTAGTTCCATTCACTCCACAACAAATCCTTTACATTTAACAATATTACATAACAAGAATGACAAAATAAGCAGCTATAAAAGTACATATTAAACTATAATATAAAAAAATCACGCTATAGGCTAGTGGCATGTATTATAAACAGTACACAAATGTTAAGCAAAACTGAAACGGCATGGGCTCAGTATCCAAATGTTTCCATTTTTGCCATATTTGTAACATTTGGTTGTTAAACTATTATTCATTAGGCTATGTAGCCTAAACAAGGCTTTATACTTTAGTCATGTTCCAATATCTGCGTAAAATCTTTCACATGCGCAAAAATGTTTGTTTGGGCGCTGGACGCTCCAAACTTTTATGTTTGGTTGACTGCATTTTAGTCTGATGATGAATGGCTGAAATGTCAAGCAACGCTAGAACTAATGTTATTGTGTGCGCGTGAGGGTTCAGATGGGTGAAATAAAATTGAGATATAAAGAAATTAAATGCATTAAAGGGGTCATATGATGTTACTAAAAAGAACATTATGTTGTGTATTTGGTGTAATGAAATGTGTTTATGCGGTTTAAGGTTCAAAAAACACATTTTCCACATACTGTACATTATTGTTTCTCCTCTATGACCCGCCTTTCTGAAACGCATTGATTTTTACAAAGCTCATCAGTCTGAAAAGCGTGGTGTGCTCTGATTGGCCAGCTATCCAGTGCGTTGTGATTGGCCAAATACCTCAAGCGTGTGACGGAAATGTTACGCCCCTACCATACTGTGATGCCCTGTCCGGCCGCAGCGACAAGACAAAAACATTAAAACCCATTATAAACGAGGAATTTATTGCATCCAGTGGGGACATAATTACGGATTACAAACCCAATTCCAAAAAAGTTGGGACACTGTACAAATTGTGAGTAAAAAAGGAATGGAATAATTTACAAATCTCATAAACTTATATTTTATTCACAATAGAATATAGATAACATATCAAATGTTGAAAGTTAGACATTTTGAAATGTCATGCCAAATATTGGCTCATTTTGGATTTCATGAGAGCTACACATTCCAAAAAAGTTGGGACAGGTAGCAATAAGAGGCCGGAAAAGTTAAATGTACATATGAGGAACAGCTGGAGGACCAATTTGCAACTTATTAGGTCAATTGGCAACATGATTGGGTATAAAAAGAGCCTCTCAGAGTGGCAGTGTCTCTCAGAAGTCAAGATGGGCAGAGGATCACCAATTCCCCCAATGCTGCGGCAAAAAATAGTGGAGCAATATCAGAAAGGAGTTTCTCAGAGAAAAATGGCAAAGAGTTTGAAGTTATCATCATCGACAGTGCATAATATCATCCAAAGATTCAGAGAATCTGGAACAATCTCTGTGCGTAAGGGTCAAGGCCAGAAAACCATACTGGATGCCCGTGATCTTCGGGCCCTTAGACGGCACTGCATCACATACAGGAATGCTACTGTAATGAAAATCACAACATGGGCTCAGGAATACTTCCAGAAAACATTGGCGGT